AACGACCGGGGCCTGTAAGCCCTAAGTTTTAGGCTTTTAGGCTGAATGTCCGGGACGGGCCCTGCAGGGCCCGTGTGGCTACGCAGTATGCCACACCCCCCCCTYCTTGAAGAACCGAGCTTACCTGCGAGGGCGAAGCTGTCTGTCTAAGGGAGGGACCACAGTCCGGGTGGGAGGGGCTGGTCGTGAAGCTTCCTGAGCTAACCTCCGCTTTTCATAATGCGCGTAGATCAGCGGTGCGGATGCTTTCAAATCAGCACCTGAAATCCACCGAGTGTCGTCTTGATCGCATGCTTTGAATGTGACTTTGTACTGCCGCGGCTTGCCGCCGTACTTGCGATCGGTGATGACGCGGTCAACTTCCTGATGACCATCCATCGAAGGAGGGTCCTGCGATCGTCGGCCCGGAAAGTCGTCGCTCTTGGCTGGCGTGTATGTTGCCAGCTTCGAGGCGTGGAAGACCGGATGGACCGTCAGATGCTCTGGAATGTTGATCACAAATGAAGGGCTATCGGGCTCATCGCCCGCGGCTGCTGTCACAGACCAAGGTCCAAACCATTGGGAAGCAGTTTGCGTGAAACATCCTGTTCCAGTGCAAACTCTTCCGCGGAGACCCAAACCAGATCACCGGCGCGGATGGGACATGGTACGCGACGCCTGTTGGCTTGTTGCTGCATGCGGACTTGAGCCTTTTGCATGTTTGCGTGGGCTTGAGTCAGCAATTCCCTGTACTTCCGAACGGAAGCGGGAGAGCAGGCATCGTCAATGTCGACTGGTCGAGGGAGGAGAAGGTCGGCGAAGATCCGGCCTTTCCGTCCACCGTGGTGCAACTCGAATGGAGTCACGCCGATCGCGGGTGCACCGAAGTGTTGTAGGCGAACTCGATGTCGGGGAGGCGGTCAACCCAATCTTTTTGGTCCGGACGGATGAGCGTACGAAGCATCATTTGAGCGGTTTGATGTGCCCGCTCCGTCTGCCCGTCTGTCTGTGGATGCCGAGCCGAACTTGGTTTCATTGTCATGCCGGACTCCTGCATGAGCGCAGTCCAAAATGCTGACATGAAACGAGTGTCGCGGTCGCTGACTATGTCTTCTGGTACACCGTGGCCACAAATCCAACCAGTGTGCAAGAGGCGTGCCAGCTCGGGAGCCGTGGAGTAGTACTTGCAAGGGAGAAAACGCACGTACTTACTCAATCGGTCCACAACCGTGAGGATGCCGCCGTGCCCGAGCCGGTCGCGGGGAAACGGACCGGTGACGTCCATGGCAATGGAGAGACCAGCTTCCCGTGGGATAGGCATCGGGCGTAACTCGCCGTAGGGATTGCGGTTGCGGGGCTTGCTGCGTCGGCAAACTTCGCAAGAGTTGCAATACCGAGTGACATCGGTAATGAGATCGGGCCATCGAAATCATTGTCAAAGCCGTGCAATAGTGCGGTTGACTCTGAAATGGCCGGCGAGTCGTGAATCATGATACTCACCGAGGAGGCGAGCCCGAAGACGGCGGTCGCGTGGGACACATAGTAAGTCCTTGCCTCTCGAGTGGAGGAGCAAGTACCCGTCGGCAATGCGATAGTGGCTAGCCGGCGGGTGATCCGAAGATAGCTGTGCATACAGTGTGGCGAAGTCCGGATCAGACTCGTATGCCCGGATGAAGTGTCGTTGAAGCTCCTCGTCGAATGCGAAGGCATGATGTGTCATAGCGCAAAGATCAGGTCTTCGCGAGAGTGCATCTGCTGCGCGATTTGAGAGGCCGGGAAGATGTTTCAGTGTGAAGTCAAACTGGTCGATGAAGTACATCCATCGTCCGATCGTGCTGCTCACCGTATCCTGCGTCTTGTAGTAGGTCAATGGATTGTTGTTTGTGACCCATGTGAACCTACGACGCCCAAGGAGGAAGTGCCGCCATCGCTTGAGAGCCATGACAAACGCGAGTAGTTCCTTCTTCCTTGCATCATCAAGCGAGTTGATGGGAGACACTTTGTGGCTGAAATACTCCACAGGGTGTCAGTCGTCGCTGTCGTGCTGTTCCAAGACTGCCCCAATGCCGTAGCCGGAAGCGTCCGTAGTCACTCTCGTCGGCAAGGTGGGATCATAGATGTTGAGGACGGGTGCCATGAGCATGGCCGTCTTAAGTGCTTGGAATGACCGGCGTGCGTCGTCATCGAACACGAATGGCACCTTTGGCGACTGTAACCTCGTCATAGGTGCAGCAATCCTTGAGTATCCGGTGATGAATCGCTGATAGTAGCCCGCCAATCCCATGAATGAACGAATGTCCGTGGTATTGGTGGGCTCGGGCCATACTCGTAGGGCCTCGATCTTGTCGTAGCCGCTCCAAAACGGTGCGCAGGTGTTCCACATGCTTCTCCAAACTCCGGCTGTACACCAGGATGTCGTCGAGGTAAATAAGTATGTATCGATCCAGCATGTGTCGGAACTCCGTTGTCATAGCCGCTTGGAAAGTGGTTGGGGCATTCGTAAGGCCAAATGGCATAACCAGCCATTCGAAATGCCCATATCGCGTCTTAAACGCGGTCTTGTAACGGTCCTCCTTGCGAATCTCGAGTTGGTGATATCCCGACTTGAGATCGAGCTTGGAGAAGAACTTGGTACCGCCCAGTCCCTCGAGAAGATCGTCGATGCGTGGGAGAGGGCCGGCGTTTCTGACCGTCTGCGCGTTGAGCTTGCGATAATCGATGCACAACCGCACATCCTTGTTCTTCTTCCGGACGAAGAGAACAGGAGCACCGTATGGCGATGAGCTAGGCCGAATCCAGCCTTTCTCCAGAAGGTCGTCGAGTTGTGCCCGAAGCACGGTAGATGCAACCGCGCGGAGGTACAGCCCCGTCCTCGAGGATGATCTTGTGGCGGAAAGGTCAATCCGGTACTACTCCGTGCGGGCCTTCGAACACGTCGTTGTAGGCGTCGAGAAGCTCGATGATGCGTGGATCCGAAGGTGAGTCTGTCGATGAAGCGTCATGGGGCGGGAGGGCGTGGAGAAAACACACCCCCATCTCCTCGATGTCGTCTCTGATGATGGAAGCTCGCATACTTGCGGCGGATACCACATGGCAGCTGATCGAAGGATGAGGAAGAGGCACCGTGCATGGAACTAGTACTCCGTTCCGATCACGAATGTGAACGGTGCGGTGGAAGAAGTTCACCGGGTGATCCTCGCTTCGCAGCCATGACATGCCCAAGATCATGTCAAATTTGCCTCACTTGCGTGAGGGGCAAAGTACACTGGGACGTTGTCAATGCACCGGTCGATTGACTTGTGCGTGTGACCGTCCGCCAACGTGATTTGCGTAGGCTGGGACTTCCTCCGGACGCGTGGGCCAAGGCCGGCGCGCACCATGAAGTCCTGGCTGATGTAGTTGCGAGATGCTCCGCAATCGATCAAGGCGTTGCAGGTCGCCTCTCCGATCTGAATGCGTACATGTAGCAATGGTGCGTCGATGTCGTCGTACCGCTGCGTCTTGAACTCGCGGTCGATCTTCGCAATGTAAGCGTGAAGGTCGACAACCTCTACTCCGGCGTCCATCAACGGAGCTGGTCTTGCAGTGTGCAAGTAATCTCGCAGTTGTGCCATGAGCACATTGCAATGCGGTTTCGGCAATCGTCCGGTCGGGGGAACGGGCATCCACTGGAAGTCCGTGAACGTCAGTGGGTCGAGCACCTCAAGTCTTGACCACGACGATGAATCCCCGGCGATAGATGGCGGCTAAGCTGCCGAATCGGTTGCCGATGGTGATGAAACCGTGCATGCGGTAGATTGTTGCACGTGGAGCGGTTGGTCCAGCGGTGGAACCAAGTGGACAGCATAGTCCTCGTAAGTGTAACGAGAACCTGCGACATTCGCATCCTCCCCAGATGTGCAGGAGGCCGCTAGCAAGGCAGCCGAATCTGGCGGAGTGGAAGGTGGAGTCGCCTCACCTTCCGCGGARCTCAGTTTCCCGAGTTGAGGCGGGGKCGCACATCCTCCTTGCCCTGATCYTGGCACAGGGAGGTCTTGTGCTTGGTGCTGTTGCACCAATAGCAGCTGTCGTAGCAGCCGCGAACCTTGTACTCCGCCTCGGTCAAGTCGAACTTGACCCATGGAACTTGTACTGGTTGTCCATTTCCGGCCTGCGATGCGGATTTCGCCTTCCCATTATTGCGGGACTTGTTGTTGCTTCGCGGCTGGACAGCAGCCACCTGATCTCCGTCACTTGATGCTGGAGTGGCTGTTGGGTTATCTCCACTGTCCGACCGGACTGCAGCGAGGTGCTGCTGTCGCGGACCAGTTCGTACCTTCTCCACATAGGTCGGCTGCCATGTTGACTTCTCGTGTGCAGCTGACCTGTTGGTCTTGATGCTTTCCCTCGCCTTGTCAATGATCTCAGCGAAGGTTGAGTACTGCTCGCGATCACCAAGAGCCTGGCTCAATGCAGCACAGGACCTTTTGTACAACTCACGGCGTAAATGCATGAATGGCAAGTCCGGATTGGGCACTACCGCAATCTTCTGCCACTCCGTGAGCCAATCCCGTGTTGCGGTGTTGCCCTATGACATGGTGAACAAACGGTTGATGGCGAGTGTCGGCGCGTCGTCGACGATGAACCGCTTCTTCCACAGCCGTGTCAGTTCCTCCCATGTGATTTTGTCCTTCAAGTTCGGTACGTCGACGCCGCGAGAGGTTGCCAGGTGGGTCAACCAGGTCTGGCATCCGCCCTTTGAGTTCATGAACAGGGCGCCGATGTACGCGTGCTTGGCGACGGGCAGAATCCTGAGTTGCGTTGTGAATGCTTCCCACCAGAGGACCGGATCCTGCTGCGTGTAGTCGTCGAACCTGTCCAGTTGGAAAGTTGGCATTTTGTACAACTTCGGATTGCCATCTGCGTTCGTTGACTGCAACTGCTGGAACTTGGTCTTCAAGGTATGCAGTTGACTGCTGATGGTGGTCGGCGCAGCGAAGGTGTTGATGTCGCCGAGCATTGCCACTACGTGGTCAACGTGTTCCTCCAGTTGGCGGCTAGAGGATGCACTGCTGGAAGCCCCAGCAGCTGGTCCTGGTACAGCCTGTTCCAGGTCCAGCATTCGGGCATTGAGTGCCTGAGTTGCATCCTCGTGGCTCTGCACTGTGTGGCGGAGCTTCGCCAACTCTTGATGCTGTTGCGTCAGGTCCTGGTACTGTTTCTCCAACTCGGACTGTTGGTAGTTGCAAGTGTACAACAGCCGTGTCACGAGTTTGGAGAGAAACTCCTTATGCTGCTCTTCCGGTGTCGCGTCGTCGCCGTTGGGTTCAAAGTGCCAGAATTTGAGTCTGTCAACGCTGGCTGCTTCATGCCGCTGCAGCAGATCCTGGGCTTCCTTGCGGCGAGCCTGGGCCTCTGCGTCTGCTTTGGCCTGTAGTCGGAGCTTCTCTGCTGCTGCCGCTTCGTCAGCCTGTAGCTGGGCAGCCTTGGCTGCCAGCTGGCGTTGTTCCTCAGCCTCGATTACAGCGAGCTGAGCCTGGAAGCGCTTTTTGTAGTCGGCAATGGGCTCATTGGCCAGTTGGCCTGGCAGGCCCGTCATGTTGCTGACGTGGCACTGCTGACGTGGCACTGTGTCTGGCGTGGCACTGCTGATGTGGCACTGCTTACGTGGCAGTGTCTGACGTGGCACTGCTGATGTGGCACTGCTTACGTGGCTCTGTGTCTGACGTGGCACTGCTTACGTGGCACTGTGTTTGACGTGGCACTGCTGACGTGGCACTGCTTACGTGGCACTGTGTCTGACGTGGTACTGCTGACGTGGCACTGCTTACGTGGCACTGTGTGATGTGGCACTGCTGATGTGTCACTGTACCAACCCGGAAATGCTTGCAAAGGGGTGGGTGGGAGGGAAAACGTAGGTAGGCAAACGACCCAACAATACTTCCTTCCGGCCCTAATCAACAGATAAAAAATAGAATAAAAAATAAAAGAGGACTACTTCCTTTTTTTTTTCTTTTTTTTTTTTGTATATCTGTCGATCTATTATGAGTAGGACATGTCAGAAGAGTACTATGAACGAGATCTAGGCTAGGTTCCGCAAAGTTTCGGCTTTTTACCAACTGCGATCTTGAAATTTTTTTTTTGCGAAATGGAGTAAAGATGCGATTTTCAGAAAAGAACGAAATCCAGTTTCTGACAATATAGCAACCTCCGAATATGCCTAACGAAATGTTGGTAGGCTTCGCAAGATTTCGGTTTTCAAAAACAATTGCGAGATAGAATGGAGATTCGATTTTCAGGAAAGAATAATTTCAGTTTCCGAGAATATGACCACTTCTATCGTTATCCCAATATGCCTAGAGAACGAAATACTAACTTCAGAAATTTCAGCTATGTATGCGAAATATCAGAGAAACGAAAAGCTACTATCGGGAATTTTAGACAAAACGAAATGCGATTTATCAGAAATTTTCAGATATTTGTTAGGTAAAAACGAACTACTAATATCAGAAATTTTCAGGTAAAACGAAATGCGAATATCAGAAATTTTCAGATAGTTGTTGCGAGAATTTTTTTTTCAGAGATTTGACCTGCGTTACTGATGAGTGATCACTAGATCAGCAAGCTGGCTACTTGATTGAACGGGTCCTCTGAATGAGAGGTCCGCTCCGATACCTACTGTAACGTGCAGACCAGAACAAGAACCGACCTCTCAATACAAAGTACAAGATAACACAGCGGAAGACTTAGATACGAATGATCCGAACAATCAATATTGCAATGCAGCCCTGAACACACATCATCATCATCGTTACCTGGTGTGAAGGGGGTCTGGCGCTTCACACAAGA